GTGATATACTGCTGAAATCTTTTTATGATTATGTTAAAAAATCTATCTGACTCCTTGAAAGAACTCTCAAATGGTTACTGCTTCCTGAAATAAAAGCTACTTCACATGTGCTCTCCTTACTTAAAAAATATGCTGAATAGAGTCGCTTCTAAGTGTCAGAGCTGTACATCTCACTGCCCTTTTGAGACATTTTGAAAAGATATAGCTGTGAAAAAGGAAATGAATAGATCAGGAAATATATCAAAATGCAGTCAATCTTTTTTTTTCTTTTTGCTATTGGCATCTTTAGATTGGTTTTAGAAAAGCATAACTCATGAAACTTCCCCCTTTCCCCTGCCCCAACTCTGCTAATGACATGATGGATGTTGCTTAAAGCTGAGATCCAGGTACCTCAACCAGCTTTAATAATTCCTCTATTTTCAGAAAAAAAAAAAAAAAAGGAAAGGAAATATCATATCACCCCCTAGACTCGCTGTCTCTCCTTTGTGTCCTCAGAGTTTGCAGAGCAGCTCCAACCCAAGGGCTTTTATAGGAGCATTTTGTACCCAAGCCAACAGGTCTTTCTGGGATGGAGGGTATATATTAGTCCCGAGTCAGARCTGCTTGAAAGCTGCAGCAAGGCTTGTGGAGCAGAACTCACAGCTGACCAGTCTAGGGCAAAGACAGCCTTATTTACCTCAATCAGCCATATATGTTGATGCAAAGCTTCATATACCTCTTTAGGACACTTTGGCTTAGAAAGCTTAGATCAGCCCATCAGAAAATAGAAACAACATGATGAATAGAGGTGACTAGTTACACATAAACTGGTCACTGTATTACAACTAATCCTCATAATTAATGAATAATCCAGATTTCTGTTTGCTTGTTTATAGAAAAAAAAAAAAAGTCACAAAACATTATAGGAGTACTTTCTAAGAGAGAGGCAGAGAATACGACTGATAAGGACCATGATGCTACTCTATCGATTGATTGTTTAGGAACATTCACTTGGCATATGAGGCCAGCTCCATGAATTGCATTGGGCAATACAACATTGAACCCATGTTGAGTCATATCATTCAATAACCAGTTTCATTTTCAACACTACATTTGACCTACACACTGTAGATCTACAGTGACTGAGAGAAACTGTCTAAACTACTGCTTAAAAATTTGCCACCAAATTGATGGAGAGTCAGCGTCTTTTCCTTGTCTTTGCTCGAATTCTTTCCCTCCCTGGAGACTGCCAAACCATCCCCACCAGGAATGACTCATCTGTAGGACCTCAAAAAGTACTTGTGAATGGGTTGGTTTTGTCTTTGGAATGCATTGCATTATACAAAGAGTTTGTGATGCTGCAGTGTGGGTGCCCGAATCTTCCCTACAAGGAAATCCCCAGGCTGCACCCTGCRATATTAACTAAAAGCTCAATTTATTTTTCATTACCTAAGTAAAGCATTAAACATTCATTTCATTGGCAAATGATATTGCCTTCCAAATTCGTCATGTTTCTCGGCCTTTTTTTTGCTTGTATGGGAAAACATATGAACCTACTGCCCAATCCCTCTCTCTTCCTTGCCTTTCCATTTCTAACCCTGTGGTAAAGGACATATGATGAGCTATAGAGGAAAAAATCTGTGGGACTCTCAGTTAAAATACTGGCAGCATATCACTGAATAAATAGAAATATAAAAATCTAAAGAAGGGCAAAAATGAGTAGAGGAAAAGAACTATTCCACAGGAGAACGGGGCAGAAGCCAGTAGAATTGTTTTGTTTAGAAGAGGTATCATAGATCACATGGCAGTTCACATAAATGAATGAGCTGAGTAAACAGTGCCAGCTGACTGATGGTCATTTCCCTTAATACATATTAATTTAACTCAAGCAGCAACATATTTTTAAATGACCTAGTATTTGTTGCACAACATATTATGAAGCTATGAAATTTAGTACCACCTACACTAGATTAATGAACTGAGAGCTTAGTATGACTTTTAAATGGGCAAGAAGTTTATATGAATAACAAYCATAACATCAGCAATGACAACAGCTAAAATCAACATTTACAGAATGCACCATCCCTTGCATTTTAGGGTAGAAATCAGAMCCAGTGTTGGGAAAAAGGCATTGCCACTGATACACTTTTTGCATCATTTTCTGCTGGGGCTGCTACATAACTTCAGCTGTAGCCTCTGGTTCTAGGAGCTTTCAGAGAAGTTAGATTGTTGGTCATTTGAATGTTGTATTTAAGATTACAAGAGGTCACAGAACAAGTTGGAAAAAATATCCCTTGGTAACCATGTCACTTAAATCTATTATATACAAAGAAAGACAGATAAATGAGATTATGGCTCCTACTTACCAGAATTTACCAAACATATTTAGCTTAAGCATTTAAGCAGTAAAATCATCCAAAGTTCTACCCTCTGAAGCTCACCCACTCTTTGGCTGTCCAGAGATGTTTCATGTGTATGTTTCTACTGATGATATGAGAACTCCTGAGGAAAAATTTCTTAGAATCTGTTCAGAAATGGGTATATAAACATTGGTCTAGCTTTGCAGAAGGGGTTTGCATGAGTTTCTTGGCAGTCACATCTGAAATGATTTTCTAGATCTTCCTCTGCATTCCCAAAATTGAAAGGCAAAAGTTATTAGTCACAATCAAATAGTATTGACTGAGATTATGGATACTTACAAACTCTTTGGAAAAGAATATAGAGAGTCTATTGGGAAAATATGACCAAAGTAACYTGTATTTGCCATTTCTGGGCAGTGTAGCTGTACTGACAAGATATGTGTTCATCCCTACCCACTGGACTGCTAGAAGGTCATGTAGAGYTGAAGTAAAATCAGATATGCATCATGGAAGACCTGGAGAAATGACTGAATTAGGACTGAGTCAGGGAATGTTCCTCTTACAAAATGGTAATATAAATGATATGGAACTAACTAATGATACAGTTGGTTTCCACCAACAGAATGACATGACGATCTAAGAAGTGAATTCCAGACTCTAAGACGTTTTTTTCTTATTTTTCCATCTGAGTCGGTTAGTGCAAAGCCTGTGYTCAAGCCACCAAGTCAAATGCTTTCTGCTTCCCAATTTAATCTCATGTGTGTCCATCCAATCTGGGATGCAGAAGATATCCCACACGTCAGATGCCCCAAAATGGTGGTTCAAGCATGGCTCCAACTCACAAGGCAAATTATCTGTGGACAATTTGACTAAGCAAATAAGTATTTCCAATGGACACCAGAACTGACATCATTTTACTGGAAGATGATTAAGCCAGAATGCACAGTGCTACATGTCTCTCAAAAATTCACAGGTATTAAGGYTCCAGTGCTAAAAAATGGGGTCATTCATGATAATGGGTGGATTAGAGAGAAGCTCAGGCCAAATCTCAGGCCACTACTTTGTTCTATGTATATTATGTATATTCTTCTAATGAGGAATACAGCCTGTCCCAATGCTTTCATTTTAGTGAGTCACAGCTCCCTCCTTTAAGTGTACTTTCTTTTAAAATAAGATAGAATTTTTAATTAACAGAGCACATTGTTATGTCTGTAGTCAATCTTCCCTTTGTGTTCTCAGTAGAGCTAGACTGAATCTGGTTATTATCTTGTAAAATGAGTCTAGATTAAAACTTACTCTCCCTAAAATACAATGGGCAATCTCTTCTCTTGAATATTTTATTTAAAACACTAAGATGAACATCCTAGAAGGATCTCAGCCTGCAAACTGAGCTACGCTCTTAAGCAATCTGAAAGAGCACATCAGGCTGCTGAATATGATATCTAGAAAAAGAAAAGTTCTAATTTCAAAGGTAAAACATGCACACACAAGCATACACACACACACGTATATAGATCTGCATGATGTATTTGCTTTACAGGCCTGGACTCCTTGYGAAGTTGGTTTTCACTATAGCAAATTAGAAAAACATGCCCAGAATTAAAGGTTACTTAATCAGGTTGAAGCAGTAACTTCAATTCCAGCAACTCCCTCCCACCATGTTACATCTGATAATGCACCCAAGTCCAAACATAAACTTAGTTCAAAAAGATGTTTGGTCCTTGAATGTAAAATGACACTTAGCTTACACAGCTAGCCAGGTAATACATATCCTTCCAAGAGAAGCAATTTTTACCACAGAATAATCTGTATTTTACTAATCTCTGATTGTTAAGTTTTACTTAGTGAAACTTTTCCATATGGCTTTTTGAGTGCCACTGTCCTGTATTTAATTACCACAGAAGGATATTAATAAAGAGGTTGGAAATTTGGCCCAAATGCTGTTCCACAGTTTGGTCAGTTTGATGGCGATAGAGCCAATGAGCAGAACAGTTCTGTCAATATAAGACTGTGCTATTTCACACATAAAAGCAGTGGCAAAAGAGGAGTAAACAGACCTAGGGAAATAAAACATCCAGCTATTTTTAAATTGCCTGTAGACTTCTAAAGTGGTCATAAAGCAGCACTGAGAAAGATGAAATACTGCTTTGCTAACAAAGTATAGTCAAAAGGAATAGGTGGAGTAATCCTCATAGTTGAGAGAGTTTTTAGTTGAGAGTTTTAGTTGAGAGACGCATGCCCAGAAATGCAGCGTACGGAGGAATTTTAAAAGCAAAACATGACATTGAGCAGAACCAAGGCAAGAGTAGGCGCTCGGAGCACAGAGGGCGCGAGGAAGCTAACGTGGGTGGGAAAGCATATGTTGCTGCCTGCATGAGGAAGTGGTACACCACAGTTACTCCATAAGTGCAAGGCCTTTATAAACTAAATCTCTTAGGGGCTGTTTTAAATAGACAAAGAATGACACACAGCCTCTGACAGGCTTGCAATATTCTTTGAGAGGGCTGAATGCCTTCTAAAGAACACTGCATTGCTGCTTGCACTTCTTCCAAAAAAAAGCCTATTTTTAGCCTCAACCTCATCACACAAACAGTCGGCAGATGCACCATGTAGTAAAATCTGTTTTGTCTAGCATGAAATGAATGGCCTTCTCGGTCTTACCTGACAATGGAAAACATATTCTGGTGTGGTTTTCTTGAATTTCATGTTCCAAACCAAGGCCACCCCATCGGGCTCATGGGGAGCATCTTCGTTATTGTTATAAGAAGCAACCATCAATTCAGGGTACTAGGAAAAAAAAAACACACACACAAAACTGCAATAAGCAGGAGAATGGAGGAGATATGCAAAATCAGATGAAGCAGAAACAATCTCACACGACATGTGGAATATCTGTTTTTAATAAAAATACTCACTACTAAAATCACAGCTCTTAGCTCTACTTTGGTTTTACATTTGGTTTGATATTTTACTTGTCCATGAAGTGCTTATAGCCACTGCTCTTTGCTCTGTATCAGTTATTCTCACATACCACACACAGTGTTATTTTCTGCAGGTAAATCTCAGAAAACACAAATAACAGGATATTCATAAAGGGAATGCAAAACAAGAAATTCTATCACAAAGGACAACCTGAAATCTTGTGTAATTTATTTGCATAGCCTTAATCCATTTCTGTCATACAACCAGCATGAGCATAGCATTGACTCACTTTCATTTGGAAGCTCACAGGTTTTCAGCACCCTAGAAACCTTTCTTATTTCATTATGCACTTTTCCTATTCACTTATATATAGTATCAAATTGAAAGCTCTTCTTGATGATTCAAACAGCAAACAAAAGATTTTCTTCACAGAAGAAATTTTGCTCAATTTTGCAAGATGTTGAGGTCATCTTGTAAAGCACTGGGTGACCTCGAATTTCACTGACTCAGGAAGACTGACGCAACAACCCTCTAAAATCAGATCCATATTTTCTCATACACCCAGTATCCATCAGTGTATATAAATAGATATGCACCACACATATAATTATGTATTTTGTTATGTATATGTATTTATATATATGTATGTATATATATAAAGCCAGGTATGAAAAAAAATAGAATTTCACACTGTTGGTGACATTGTGTTGTTCTGAAGCACCCTAAGCAAAATAGTCAGAGAGCAGCAAACCCAAAGTATCATTGATTTAATTCCATTTAATTGGCAATAGTTATACTGGGACTACACAATCCAAACTTATCTTGCTGAAACATTTGCTAAAACAAAATTATGTTGACCATAAGCAGCGTGGGCTTAAATTATGGACATTTCACAGCCGTCTGATTGCTGAGTGCTTTTGCAGCATGTTCTRGGCACCCTTATAAACTGTCAGTAGCAAAAAAAGTAACAACCTCCCTACACACACAAAATATCAATTACTTTCTGCCTATACAATAGCTTCCAGCTCCCTACTCCCACATCTGATGGCAGGCACCTCTTGCAACCTCTGTCGCTCCAAAGAACAGCAAGATCAAGGACCTTACAGCATCTTGTGAGGATGGATTCTGGCAGATGGGTGAGCTAGCAGTGCAAGGTCCACAGGATCCACACTTTCCCTTGGTCAACTATATATCCTTTCCYTCCAGATTTTTCCAGGATCTCTGCAAATGTTTGTCACTCCATCTTTCTCAGGTAAATTCCTGCCAAACCATTTATCACTTCACCAAGGAGCTGCAGGGCTGGTAGACATAAAGGAAGCGGGCACAGGGACTGCCAAGAGTGCTACCATGAATTTGGTCTGCATTGGGCAATTTAAGACTAAAAAAAAATCTTTGTATCATTTTCAGTGGTGCTTGAACCTCTCTGCCTCTCAAAATCCACCTGGAAGAAATGCATATATCTATAACTTGTGTCATCTGCAGCTGCACCCTCCTACTTCATGCACATTTTTATGGATAACACATCATGGAGGTGACTATTTTTCCTGTTCAAGCTCATAATCACAAATAAAATCCTAGGATAAAGTCCCTGGCCCATACCCCATGTTGGGGCCACGGCATGTGGCTGCCTTAGCTGCCTCTGCAGCTTTCAGAAAAAAAAAGGGGAAAATAACAGGCAGTGACCGGCTTGCAGCTACATGCTGGCAACTGCTGGCCTGGCTTGCGAGGACGATTCAGCATCCATGGCATTTGCACAGGCTTTACAGCGGGCACTAGGCCGGGCTCACTGCCGCGGGGAACGGGGGCTGATGGTGCCCTGATGCTGCAGCCGAGGGGCCACCACAGCGTCCATGGCAGCCTGCGAGGGGCCACCACGGCGTCCACAGCGGCCTGCGAGGGGCCGCCATGGCGTCCATGGCGGCCTGCGAGGGGCCGGCATGGTGTCGGCGGCCTGCGAGGGGCCGGCACGGTGTCAGCGGCCGCCTGCCCCCGCCGCCGCCTCTCCCGCTCACCCGCGGCCGGGGTTGCAGCCGCTCCTGGCAGCTGACTCAGCTTAGCTGCTGCTTTGAACCTTGCCACCCGGCATTGGCCCAAGTTCAAGTAAACAGCGTGTGTGCAGCGGGCTGCTGCCGGTGTATCGAGCTCTGGCTGYGGAGTCGGGTGCCCGGGACACGCGTGGCTGAGCCAGCAGGCTCGTGGGGACGTCYCCCGCAGGCTGAGGTGACAGCGTCTTGCACCAGCACCACTGAAACTGGGCAGGACGTGCGAGCGGGTCTGAAGTGCCTCTTTACAGGCACTTAGGGGTTGGTTTGTGCTCCTGGAGAGGTTGGTGAGCATGTGCTGGGTGCCGGGGCATCTGCGACCCCAACCTTGCTGGTCTGGGTGCACGTTTTGCACTGGAAATTGATGCGTTGGACTGGAAAGAGAGTGTCAAGGTTACTCAAAGGTTACTGGGGTCATACTTACTAACATCATTTGAGGCTTTTCAGCCCTACAAAAGCAGAGCCAGTTGCAGCATCATAAATTCATGCTAGAGTCCCCGCTTCCTCCAACCCACTCACATTTACAGATTTTTCAGACTTCACTAGGTACCTGGCTGTGACCGCAGCTGAAAGTGCTGTGCAAATACTGCTAGGTGAAAGAGCGGACCAGGCTGCTCCCTGGGAGTCATGAAGGACTCAGACGTATCTCAGAACCTGTAACCTTGCTGGCTTCAGATGAGCTAAGCAACCTTGTGGTCAAAGCAAGGTGATTCCACCCTCTGTGTTTGCAGTAAATCTCTTGGGCATTTCCCTTTGAGCCTTGATGAAGGATCCAAGCCTTTCCCCTTTGCTCTGTAGAAGACTCAAGGAGCTAGCGGGCTGTCTTTAATGGCATGAGTGATCCCACATGTCTGGGACCATGTTGTACATGTGACTAGGAAACAGACTAATTTGTTTCATCAATGCATCAAGGTCCTTTGTTTGATTAAGCTTCTATTTGCCCTGGGGATGTTTTGCAGCAACAGATTTATCACAGAATATTGAGCAATGTGCTCTGCCGTTCCCATGAGCGTTCAAGTTATCCTTGGGCATCCAGGACATTGCAGCATCCCAAGGTGGAAACGAGAAGCAGAGCCTGAGTTCAGTGAAATACCTCCATCCAGCTCTGCTTCCTACTGCAGTATCCACCTTGGAGCAGGCTAGAGATGCCAGGGTGCCTCCTCACCCAGCTGGGTGCCAGGGAGCCGGGCAAGGAGTTAACCTTGGGGAAGGCAGGAGGGGCCACCCTGCAACAAAGAGGTGGGAAGCAGAACATGCCTCTGTGCCCCGGGGCTGAGCAATTACATCTGGCAGCCTGTTTCTGAGGCGGCTTTTTTCCTTGCTGTCCTGGGAATATGGTGCGAGCTGCCTGTTACAAAAATATCAGATAAGAATTCCATGTAATTTCCAGCTCCTGAACAAGTGAACAACCTAAGATAAGTGTTTCCTCAGGCTTACGTTTGATTTCTGTGGAAATCCATATGTGCTTAAAGGCCACCCACCTCACACCCGTGCATACCAGTTATTGAGCTGGTGTTTTGTAGGAAAGCAAAGGGCTAAAATCTTCATTCCATGCATGGGGTGCGAGGATGAAGAGCAGCCTCCCTGCACACGCAGGAGAGGTGGCAGCCGGTGCACGCCTATGGCCACCTATAGGGTCAGCCACCGACTGTGCTCGCGGGCCCCTCCAGCCCCTCTCCTCCTTGCTGCTGCTGCATCCTTCTCACAACAGGCTCCCATCTGTCCCATAAGGAGCTGGAGAGGTGGGAGCAGCTGTGCCGGGAGCACAGGATGGCAGCGACGTCCTCTTACCCTCTGCCTCCCCGCAGCGCACAGGCACCGCTCACCCCCTGCACGGGCACAGCACGAYGTGCAGCGCAGAAACAGCAGCTACTTCCAAGACTGCACTAAGGCAGCCTCGCTCCTAGCTGCCCGTTAAGTCTTTGCTGCCCAGCAGACTGCCTTGCTCTCCTTTTTTTCAGGTCCTCCTGGAGCAGACTTGGTATATCCGTGTTGCAGCCCTCAGAGCAGAATCTSCTAGCATTCCTCGCCAAGGACATTTAACTGGTTTGCTCCAGATTGGAACCTAGGCAGACACTAATAYGGATGATGCACAGAGGATGAGGAGACTGGAGTGATATGTCTGCAATAATTTCAGTTCCCCACTGGAATAACCAATTCACCTGCCTTCTATACCCCCYGATGGGGCTGTAATGGCTTTGGGAAGTTTAGGCACTTCTGCAGTAAGTTTTACATTGAAATATGATGGTGCTTTGTGTTGTACTGAAACTGGACATGTTCCAGGCCTGTTATTTGAACCTGTTCCCTGGCTTGCTGCAGTTTCCTCTTCCAGAGGTTTGAGGAGAGGCTCCAACATCTTCAGGAAAATCCTTTTTATACCAGAACTATTCAGATATGTCTACATTTTGAGTACCAGTACATCAAAAAATTAAACATTATTACTCATTGGTTTTATTTTTGTATATTATTTTGTATAATATAATTGTTTATTAAATACATTATTAACAATTCAGTGGTTTTAATTATTTTAATTGGTTTAATTATTAAGCTTTTGTTTTAAGAGCAATTTAATGTGCTGAAGAAGTTAYTGGAGGAGGCTAGAAAAGTGAGATTCCCACCTCTTGGAGAGTTTATTAACATGTAGTTTTGATATAAAGCCCTGGTTTTGAAGATCAAGTGATATATACAGACAAAAGGCAGCTTCATTATTGCCCACTGCTCTTCACTATGTAGAAATGTGCATTCACTCAGTGCCCTCTTGTTAGCTAAAAAATAACATCCTAGTCTATATTACAAAGTGCAAAGRAGCCTGTCCATATTTTTCTATACAGAAGTTGGAAGCAACACAGGAACAGCTCCTAGCATTGCACCTTACCTGCAGAGACCAATCCATACAGGTGACCACACGATGCTTCGACCAGTGCTCATCGTAAAACTGACGATTGAAAGAGAGGTTGGCTCCTGCTTGAACATCTCTGTGGAGTTTAACAGCAAAATTAGTCATTTTACACATTTACATTTTACACATTTTACAACTAAGATTCAAACGCAGTGACAATCAAGGTAAAGGTTTCTGGGTACTCGTTTTCTTCAGTCTCTGCCCACCCAGGGATTTCTCTTTCTGAATTTAAAATTTCACCAGAACATTGAAACAAAATATTAAAACATCTGTATAGCAATTTAAAGGGAAAAAATRATGAGCAATAAAGTATGAAGCTATTTTGCAAAATAATTTAGGATTACAAAGTGACTCGGGCCTTCAAGAGGAGATTTTAACCTTTCCCTATTTTAAGAAATGTTTGGTTAGTTTTAAAATATGCTTTCCTAAAAAAAAAAAAAAAAAAAAAAAAAAAGAACTGACCCATCTTTCTCTTCTACATCTCTGCCACTGTAGTCAAAGAATATGTCTGAATCTTCAGCCAAAGCCCGCTCAATTACACGTATTGTCCGGTCAAAAAATATCAGGAATTCTTCTGAATGGAGAACTTGCTGTTTTTCTTCTTCTGTCAGTTCTCTAGGAGGAGCTTGGAAAATGAAAAGTTATTGTTAAAAGTAAGACATTTTACATCTTTTCAAATGAATCAACATCTTTAGTAAGAGTTTCTTTTAACATGAAACTTGGAGTTGTACTTTTTGACATGAAACTTGCTGATGTACTGGCAGGACAAAACCCAAAGCTTTGCTTTTACAGTCATGACTAAGAATTTTTTTAATATATCCAAATATACTCCTGTATATTCCCACTTACATAAAGGAGATCTTATATCTTATATATTTATTACTCTGAAATGGAAAATACTTAAAAAGCAGAATTAAATAAACCCTGTGTTCCTATTTCAGGCAATAGTTATGACTGACATTTGGGCAATGCCTGACTCAAAAAAGTAGAACACTTATGTAACTGGGGACCTGTTTAAAAGCAGATCACTTATAAAAAAATGCCCACGATAAAATAATCTTCTTAACTTATACTACAGTTCTTTGTATGAAAGGGCTTCTATACGCTGCCCCACATAATCTCTCCCGCTGCTTCTTCTGATTTCTTGGCACCACAGGTAAATTTGGGCTTTGTTTCAGACTTTGTGTGAGTAAACGGTGTAAATAACCACCAGCTGGCCCCCCCTCAGGGAGCAGAATGGAAAGCCCAGCAAAAAGCCACTGCTTTTCACCACGAGGCTGAATGGCAACGTGACGAGCGGCCAGTACCCTGTGCCCAACRTGAGCATCCGTGGGGATCAAAACAGGGACATCACTACTGCTCCATCGGGCCTCTGCCCACGTGTGATTTTAAATCATCACTATTCTAGTTACATTTCAAATTTACTTACATTTCAAAAAAAAACTCATGAGGATCTTCAAAGTTATGCCACATTAACCTTACAGCTGTGTTAAATGCCCGGCTTGAAAAGCCCTATTGACYTCACAGGAATTATGCTGGACTTTTGTTCCAAATTTTTTATTAAACATATAAACAATGTATCATAAATAGATGGGCAGATTTACTGTAAAACTACAGAGACCTGTACTTACTGTTTAACTGTCAACCAAACATCTCCAGTATTGGGCCTTGTACTACAGATGTGAGATTTTTACTTTTGATAATGACCTTGCAGTCTCTCTAGGCCATACCGGGTAAAAATAGCATCAGTCAGAAAAGAAAATTCATCACTGTGCCTCCGAGAACACCCAAGAATATATTAAACTCCAAATCCTGTCATACCTTCATGCTTAATGAAATGCAGAGTGACACGGTTTAAGGTCGCAATTTAAAACTCCTTTCCCACTGCCACGCTATGCTGCAGTGGCTGCTTCTTTCTGAGATCAGAACAAGGCAGCTCCATCTCCTTTTCCTGTGATTGCTCTAGACTTTGGAGGAGAGGCAGGAATGCAAGTTTGCCCTCAAGCCCCCATGTCCAATTCCACCCATTCCCGGGGGCAGGACAGATTCCAAGCTCAGCAGGACACAGGGGTATCCAGCTTTACCGCACTCCTTGGCTCCCCCAGTTTTCTGGGCACTCACTTTTAGAGAGCTCTCTGTGGTAGCGAAAGGCTGTTACCACCTCGTGGAGATTTGCCTAAACTGGTTTAAGCTTCAGCTCTGAAAGACAACCTCTCTGCACTACACCTGGTCTAAACATGGAGGGTAGGGAAAATGCAAAGGATGGAGGACCAATTTGTCCCTCAGGAGACAAAGTAGCTATGAAGCTGGAAACTTTAGCCTTTGATGCTCTCCTATGGCCCTGGCCCTATGCCTCCTGCCTCCGGGTTAGTAGTCCCTGTGGAGCTCCACACATCCAGAGAACATCTACATCCCCCTGCACGATCCCCCTGTACTGCAGAGCAACAATTACCAAGGTAGGAGCACAATTGGCCTCTAAGTGCTTTAGACAGAAGCAATGCATGTGGAAAGAAAAACAAAAAAAGAAAAAAAAAGACCAGCAAAAAGTAGCAAAAAGTACAGGTTGACCTATTGCAGCATCCACTACTGAATAGTAATTGGCACTAAGTGAACTCATCTGGCAAGGAAGCCTGTAATGAGGCAATATCCCACTGTCACCACTAAAGCATTGCTTTCCGAGAATCAAAGACAACAAGCATGACAATGCAGCAAAACGGCACAAAAGGGGAGAAAATAGCTGCAAAGGCAACTGGAAAATTCATTTTAAACTGCTCCAAATGGTAAAAATTATTTGCTAAATCAAATCCTCTCTGCAGCTTGAAAATATAAATTTATTACTTGGGCATCCGCCAGCTATAACTGGCAAAGAAAACACAACCGAAAATCAATAGAAAGGAGAAAGGCAAAAAAATAAACAGCTTGGGAGCTCTGGAGGGCTCGCAAGCAACGGAGACACGGATGATTGCAGCTCTACCTCAGCAAAACCTCTCTTGCAGTTAGCAACAAGCTGTGGGAGGCCAGCAGTCTGTTAAACCCTCTTCGGCATCAGAAACACCTTGGCGAGAGTTTGTAGGGCATAAATCAGCTTACCTCACTCATCTGCCTGACACGCCAGATGCCCCCTGGCGATATTAAGCTTCATATTTTAACCTTATTTTGTGCTTTCATTCGGCTGCCTCTGAAGTTTTATTTGGGGCAATCTCTTCTCACAAGAATGTTAACATCATTACTTTTTCCAGTGTAAAACATTTCTGTAACTACTGCAAATACATGAAGTGTAAGCAAAACAAAACAAAACAGAAAAGCTTGTTCTTTCAAATATGAAGATTTTCTAAGCATTTATCTTTCAGAGCCACTTCCATTTTCCCCTTGTTCTTTTTTCCTTTCTGCCCATTACCCTGAATAAAATAAAAAGACTCTATGCAATTTTCTGCAATTTTTCATCCTATCTGGAAGCTTACAGCTACTTTGATCTCAGCTTTCAACAGRCACAGACTCTATAGACGCTCTTGAAGGAAAACTAGGAGAAACATAAGTAGCTGATCAAAGTATTTTTTATTTTGTTTTGTTACAGAGACCTATGTGATGTGRCAATATTTTCAGAAATTCTACTTAAAAATATGGTATTTGGTTTCAAATATATGCTTTAGCTGGAGCAAAAAAGCAAACAAACCATGTCTAACCCTCCCTGTGTAAAGAAGCCTGATATGATGTTTGGCTCACCCGTGCTGAAAGCACTTATTTCCTAAAGTGTAACAAAAGCTGTAGAAAAGTAAGACTTTGCTCTTGCAGATGCACCGCAGCTTTGCAGTGAGCAGCTGGTTGCTCCCATGCTCCAGGTGCCTGGTTGGGCAGCAAAGGGACACGGCAGCCTCCAGGGCATCGTTGGGCCCTGCTCAGAGCAGGGCCACCACGAAGCCACCTCGAGCAGGGACTCAATGTAACGTGGCCATGGGCAGACTTCTGGGGACTCTGGAGTTACGGGGGCAACAGCAGCTACCACGGGAGCTTTGTGCATTTGGATGTATCGTATTACACAAAATAAAGCAGAATTTCCATTTGGAATCAAAACGCTGCACAATTATACACGCAGAGAGGGCACTGCAGAGGAAGCAAACGAGAGACCTTTCCGTAATGAAAGATATTCTACACGTATGCATGATCACAAAGAATAAGTAATAAAAACTGAGCATGATATGAACTGAGCATGATATGAAGACAACAGGTTTATTCAACCCTTATTTATGAAAAAATAGGAGCATTTTGTTATCTTCCAAGTGATTTAACACGATCCACAGAAATATCATCTTTCATATCGGATTTTTAGTCCACAGATTTCCTTGGACAAAACAGAAAAAAAAATATTTTCATTTAAAAAAAAGAGTCTGTGGACAGTTAAGAACTAAGATAAAGAGCACTCCAGCCCCGTCCTTATCAGACACAAGACTGTAGTAAATGTAATATAATACAAATAATTGTAATGGCAGTACAGGATTAAGTCTACAAATATTTAAATACTAGAATTTGAGTCTTCTCCTGAGGGAGCCAAAAAGATATCGCACACACACAGAAAAGACACATTTAAATAAACGTAGCAAGTATAATATAATAGAAAAATATTTTCCTGGAACTTAAGGAGTTGGACAAAACTGATGAACTAAGTGAAGTCCATTAAAGGTAAAAAAAAGAAGCAGAAACAGAAATAAGAAATGAATGAAAGAAGGAACAAACTAATAAAACCAACAAAGCAGGAAGCAGCCTTGTTATGAGCACAGAGATATAACGGGAGASAGAAGGAGATTAGTGTAAACCTTTTAAGAGCTGTGTTCTTTCTTTTAGTGTGCATTTAAAACCGTGTAAMCTTCAGATGTGCTGACTACTGGCTACAGTAGGAATGTGCAGCGTGAGAATAGCAAAGTGCTGAGCTGCCTCAGTGGAGCTGCTCCCTGTCCCTTGCTGGCCTCCGACCCTCTTCCTCTTCTAGCACTTCTCATTCTCGTGTCCATCTCGTTACACTGGTGTGTCTTGACTCTGTTGGGTTTGTAATGCAAGTCTCTGTCCAACACAACTGCTGGATAGACCAAGAGAGAGTCTGAACTGCATTTAGGGTCTTTCCAGCTCTAGACTGGCAGGACTGCCTTGAGGCCGGGGCTGTGCTCTCTGGGTGGACACCYTGCAGGGGAGGCAGCTTGTCTAGTGCCTGGGTCGAGGACCATCCAAGGTTGGCAACAAGGTATTTTGGCATACTTGAGCTAGCTGTGGTATCCACACAGTGAAACTGTGGCATTGCAGATTCTTGTGTAAACCCATGCTAAGTCGCAGGGGCCAACCCAGCAACTGCTTTAGCCACGGCTCCCCTGTTGCTGCTGGTTGTGGGGGCTGAGCTCGGCCCTTCCCCGACAGTCCTCATGGGTGCGGGCTGAGATGGGTGCCCAGCCCTTTGAAGCTGTGCAACCCAGACAGCCCCATGCCAGCTTTTCAAGCCAGTTTCTGTGGATATGGCTAGGGCTGCAGATAAATGCAGGTCGGGGCCCACTTTCAAGAAGCAGCCCATCCCGCTGTTCATGTGGTTTGCCCCGACACAAAGAGGCGCCGGAGGTGGAGCTCCGGAGCTCTCCAGGGCTGGAAAGCCCCATCGCACCTGATGCCACAGGACGGGCCCAACCTCCTCTTTATATGGTCAGGAGAGGCTGGGAAAAGCCAGGGCTGAGCCCAGCTCACCAGCAGGAATCTCCAAGCACAGCGTGGAGACCATGAGTCCCACCTACAGGTGACAACAGATGGACCCACGGAAGAAACAAACTTGGGTCCCGAGGCTTAAAAATGGCAGACTGCAGCATTGCAGGTGACCCTGTGGTGACTCAGAGCCCAGTCCAGACCATGGGTCCTACCCTGCAAAGGACCCTGCCTGCTCCCTAAGTCCTCCAAACCCAGCAGTGCAACTCTGGGGGGGAAAAGCAAGGAAATTAAGCATGCCATAAATGTCTGTAGAATTAAACTGGAGTACCTATAAACCATGGCGAAAAAAATCCCTCACATTTCCTCTTAAAGTACCATTATAAAAATAGAGCACTCCTGTCCTGTTGGCTTTGGGGAGAGGGAGACTGAGCAGGCTGGATTCAATTTTAGTTTTCATGCTGACCTATTTTTGAGTTATACTCATGAAAAAAAATCGTCTGCCTCTCCCCACACTTCTTTCTCCTTTTTTTTTTTTTTTCTTTTTAACACTCCTATAACTCAAAAAAGGCCAAGCTGATTTTTTTTTTTAATCTGTTAAAAAATGTGCTCCCTGAGCTGAAACCAAATTTCAGCCCAGAGCAAATTTTTACGGCTGGGTTATAAATCCCTGAAAAACAGGATTCATAATGGAAGTGCTGACACAGCCTTAACTACTATATAGCAGTGTGAATGGCGCCACTATAATATCTATTAGAGATTCTTTAAAAAGTTTGCAAAATATTGTCTTGCCTTGCAGAGAAAAAGAAGCCAGAGTACTTAATGCCAACATAAACATGCTTTTAACCCATTATGTGCTAATTTGCAGAAAAGCTATTAATTCTGTGTCGGCTCACAGAGTGCAGCACCGACAGGAAATGTTCTTCTAGACTCCTGTTTGACTTGTAACATGGTTTTAATCACTGCCATGAAACACAAACGATGGCTTCAAACTCCGAGTGTTGCTCAGAACATGAGAAGGGTGATTACAACAGAGGGGCAAAGAGGATTGTTGGCAGAAGGGCTAAAGCCAACAACGAGAGAATGACACCAAACAATAAAAATGGGATCCTACTTTCTGTCAATACAAGGACAATTGTTTCATTGGGTTCACAGCATTTAATGTTGGTCATCAGCACACTGCTCTTTATCTCTGTCACAACGCATACTGCGGGCCAAGTTCACTTTCTATCAGGAGTGAATTCATTTTCTTCTCTCTTGAAGCCAGTGAAGTGCTAGCACCTCACAGAGCCGGTTCTGCTAAAACAAGCCGTGCCTTGCTTTTGTATTCTGCAGCTTGTGTGTCAGAGCGAGCAGGGCTAACCTAATCCAGTCGAGCTGGTGCTCCTGTGAGGTCTGTGAGGCCAGGAAGCGAAGCCTTCCTCCCAGACTAAACTACGACAAAAAAACAGGAGATGATGGTGATGACACTTGGTCACCAAAGCACCTAAAAGGCTCTCTTGAAAGGCCATGAAAATCTAAAATAAACTGTCTTAGGATTCAATTTAGATTTTTTATTCTTCTCTTTATACCAGAATTTCTGTTTTTTTTTCCCTGGGTATAAATGCCAGCGTACTTTTATGTGGAAATAAATGGAAGAGATCAACTGCATGCTGAATATTATATGAGCATTCAGCAACTCAGGACTGCATAACTGCACTGATACCAATTTTTATGGCTTCTCTGTGTAAGACCCAGTGATTGCTGGTGCCCATATCTAAGCTGACCCCACAGTTTTGGGAGGGAGGACTATTTGGGGGAAATCCTCATATTTCACTGCTGCCATGTCCCTCGCTTCAGTTCTGCCATTGCTGCTTCTTGTGCCCAGCAGTGCCAGGGCCACAGGAGAAGCTGCAGTCAGAGGAGTGGAGGTTGTGCCAGTCCAGCAGCAGGAGCAGCACCAAAGGAGGCTGCATCATGTGAGGGGCTTGCAGACAACGGAGGCACCCGTTTCATGTGTCTGCAAGGAGCAAATGAACAACAGGCACCGCAGCATTTAAGACACAGGCGATTTCTATGCTGATCTATTTCCACAATGATTTCTATGATGAAGATCAATTTCTAATGAGAACAGTATGGCAAGCATTGGAGCTCACTTCAGGGTCCGACAGTAGCAGATGTGGTCACAGTCCAGCAGACTCGAATTTTCCTGGCGTTGATATAAGTCATGCCAGGCTCCCCTAGATGAAGAAGAAGCAGCATCCACTGCTGTATCCACAGATAATGCTTCCTGGACTTGTCGGTGAAATGACTCCCTATTTTTCCCATAGTGAAACTACGTTGTGAAAGGCAAAGCCAAAGCCACAGAATCGTTCTGATAATGATCACAGCAGCAGGAAGTGACTGTGGCCCTACCTGAGGAGGTAAGTTATCTTTCAAGAGGATAAACAGCACTGTTAGCAATCCTGGCAATACAGAGCTAAGAGATATCGGATGAAAAATGCATTTCCTCTTGCACTGCAGTTGTGGCTATTTCAGCTTTATTTCCCCATTCCATACAGAAGTGAACACTATCTGGTTCAAGTGATATATCAGAATAGCCAATAACCTAGTAAATTCCCAAAGATGAGGAAGCCCATAATTCATATACCTGTTCTAATTTAGAAAACTAGAACCAAGCAAATGAGAAGCACACACAATACCTAGTTGCTTTTAATGCACTAGCTTGACATAAGTCCCATAGTTGCACCAGAAAGAAGTAGAAGCCTGAATCTTTGTCTCTCATAACACATGAGAGTGTCTCAATCCAGAGAAATGGAAAAAAAGGACTAGAACCACATGGCTTCAGTTTTGATCTTACATTCCCTGGGGGAATTTTGACAGTCTGCAGTGAAATGTTTTTCTGCTGGAAGATTCCTGACCACTGCTAGGTTTAAGTCTGCTCTTCTCAAACAGATAGACAGCCATGGGCCCTAAGTACCTTTGAAGATCAACTAACTTTATGGTGCTGCTGGAATGCTTGGCATTCACATTTTAAATCTTTCATTTAACTGGGCCATTTAAGCCAGAGAACAAGTAAGCACCAGTCCCGGAATCTAAGAATTCCTACACTGGTCCCCAAATTATAAGGCCATATTATTTCTTCCAGACAAAGTCCTGCGCCTTTCACAAGCTTCTCAGACCTACTGGCTGGGTCATTGGGATACCATTTGCTGCTCTTAGGCCATTCATGCAGATCGATAGAACTTGTGACACTTTCTGTCTTTCACTGTTCTCAGGAATAGAATCTACTTTGAGAATAACTACTTAGAAGACTAAGTCCTTTAAACTATAACAAAACACGTTTTATTTTATAAAGTACCTTCTTTCACTTCCTGCTTCTGGTCTTGATTTTCCATCTCCAAGTCATCCTGTGCTTTTGGTTCCACCATCTCTTCATCATCTTCATCCTCTGAAAAAGGAAATAAAGAATTGTGAAATTCTCCTCTTTAAGGGTATGAGAAATAGTGTATCACCTTTACAATTATAACCTGGCAGTAAAAACAGGTGGAACAAAGTTCACGTCAAATGGAAATGTCTATATTCATACTCAAAATGTAGCTCTCAGAAATTGCCCCCAGACTGCAAGATAATATATTAACACAGGGCACCTGCCACTGTTGCTCCCTGTGGCAACTTCCCATCTCGGATGTCGTCTGAATGTCTCCCTGACCTTGGAGATGACTTCTTCGATGGTATAAGAACAGAGGCAAACATGTTTCAGCCTGGCAGCAATTCCCCAGCTAGGACACCTGTTATCCAGACACCTCATTTCCAATTCAATTCTCACCAGATTAATTTGTCTTTTGACCTACAGGAAGGGGTTAAATAGAAGACTGACCTCAGGTCAGATGCCACTAGCAAGCAAACAAGCATGATACAGTTCTGAAAAGTCATCACCATCATCCAGGGGAACACAACAACCAAAAGTGGCATTTGGAGCTTAAGAACCATTCTTGCATTAATATGAATTTAATGAACACTAAAATTTGACACATGTCAGTTACTACTGCCAGATGTTTTAATGACCTTGCCTGACCTATGCAAATGCCTCTCTCCTTTTCCCTCTCTCCCCAAATACACATGTTCTCATTTTATTCAGAAGGGCACAGTACGCATGCCTTTTCTTTACGTTCGTCTGAAGTTACAAGTGTTCTGATTGTTAGGATAAAAAAATAATGTATTAGAGATGGAAAACAGCATTGCACCAAAAAGGCTCAAAAACTTACGTAAACCTCACTACTTAGGTTAACTGTGTTGTTCTCAACTGGAGCCACATAATTCATTCTTCAATGCCTGGGGCCTGCACACAACACGGATCCCTGCGAGGGTAGGAATACACAGTTTTCTACATTCACTGAACTACGAAGAGTGAAAATAGATCTGGTACTAAAACTGGGAGCTACATTAAATAAAAACTAGGATAAACAAGTCCTTGGATTATGCACATATCATTTTTTAAGGACTGTGCAGCAAAGACATACCATCAAGGCACAGCAAACACGAGCAGCACATTGGGGCTGCCCATTGCATGAACACACACACGTGTTCATGACCAAGCACACTCAGCAAAACGTTGCCGTTTCTCTGAGGCGTTCTGGGCATCTGCATCTCACCATATGGTTCCTCATGATGTGGCACTTCTCCAGGCACACTCACCGCTTCTCTGACCTCACAACATGCCCCTTACACTTTGCAGTTGTGGTGCTTGGCAAATCTATCACTACTGAGTTCACAGTGGGCCCTGGAAGCAGGAAGGGGGCAACATGTCATGCTTCTCAAACTGCTCGGCTACTGGCAACTTCTCCTATAAAGGCTGGCTACAATCATTCCTGGCTTCTTATGGAGATGTTGGTGCTGACAGGTTGCTTTCAGCCAACAGTAACACACAGCTGCATTTTGTTTTCAATAGCCTAATAGGCACCATACTATTCCGACCACTCTGCCCACCCCAGAACTCCTCCCCACAGAGGATGCCCACAGTGTGCTTGTTTCTGTCTGACATTACAGCCAAGCATGGCTCAGCCATTCGCTGTAAGGAACTGTCTCAGCATGGACAGATAGGCTTTTATCTCATGGGAGAAGGAGAAATCTTGGCATATGATCTGCCATCACTCTCCCTACTGCTAGTGACTGCAGTGAGAAAAGGAAGGAAAGGAAGGAAAGGAAGGAAAGGAAGGAAAGGAAGGAAAGGAAGGAAAGGAAGGAAAGGAAGGAAAGGAAGGAAAGCTCCTGGCCTTCAAGGGGGAGAAATTAACAGCGTGCTCCCTGGGCAGGAACTGAGAATGGAAGAGGAGGTATTTCCAGTGCTAAAAGCACTGCTCATGAATGCTACCCCTTCATGGAGGATCTCTCAGGCTATGACAAGAAAGTTACTCTGAAAGGGCAGATAGTGGGATATTCACAGTGCCTAACCTTGACGCCTCAGCTGGCAGTTACATTACCCTTTATTTGCATTGGAAGAGCTTTTAGGGAGCAACTCAGAGTGCACAGGTTAGACAGGATAAATGCACTGCTCTATCTGCTGGCTGAAAGGCAGATAGCAGCCAACATGGTCAGCAGATGGACGGTGAGAAAAGTCCACCTTTGAACACACAGAAAGGATAAAAAAAGACCCATGTCACTGGCTTGTGGTGCACAGTGAAGATGGGAACATGCGCAAAAGATGAGCTAACCTCCATCCTGAAGATACTGTTGAGAGAACAGAGGGACACTCCCAGTTTCAAAGAAGWGATCAAAAGTGGGAGAAGAGAGAGGAGAGACCGGAGACAGCAGCAGCAGGGGAGCAAGTGCTTTCCTAACCTCATGTACATATGCACCCATAGATAGGACCACAACTGCATATGGACATATGCCTAGACACACTTATGGGAGATACATAATGAAGCCAACTCCCACAAGAGTTTTGCGCATCTCGCATTACGAGTTTTTGTTCCCTAGAGCACAAGCTCTTGGAGCCAGCTGTTTACATATGGATTTCGGTTTCCATTTTTAACCTGCTTCCAACCTGTCTGCTCATGGAGAAAAGTTTAGTAAGGTGAATGGTTCGACAAAACCTGCAGAAGGCAAACAAAAATAAGCCACTATTTAATTTAAAATATTGTCATTTCTAAGCAGCTTGCCTAATTTTAAGTAAGCTTGCCTAGTCTGATTTGTAATTTGCTAAGGGAGAGGGACAACACACATTGTCCCTATGTGTAGAACCTGAGATTTAGCAGCATGCTTTCAGACTGAAGTGAAGCAGATTGACCCCTGTCCCCAAGAAGTCCTTGATTCCCCTGACTTAGGGTCCCAAACCAATTGCCTGTCCATTGCTATTCCTGCTTCTAAAGCAGTGCAGGAATGGCTGTTGCACAGTTGGAGCAGGGAGTGCACAAATACTACAGCACTGGCTAYGGTAGATCTTCTCTGCTTCCCTTCCTTCTCCTTCTGGGAACAATCTAGGCTAAGTCTCCCTGGATTTCTTGAGTTTTAATTGGAGCAGGAAAAAGAAGTGAAGGTTATTACAACACAAGCCATGCCTTTTTCTGTGGGCACATACATTGATATGTTAGTTTTACTGGGAAGGTAGTACAAGAGCTTGTAGTATATTAGATACAGTTCAGATGTCCTTATTTATTTACAGAGAAATGTATATACATAGACAGAAGAACTCAGCTAAAAATGATATGGTTGTAAGCCAACTGCTGAAATGTTCACAAATGCCAGAATTTGGATTGCCTGGGCACGATTCGTGCCTTCCCCCTCCTCGTGCAGGCAGGATGACATCATGCTGGAATTTCCTCCCTCTCCAGCGCTTGGCCTCAATTTCTGGGTGTGCAACAAGAGACACCTGGAGCCTGAAACAGACACGTGTGGAACTAAAGTCAACCGGGCCTGTGCTTGGAGTGGAGAAAGYGCAATGGAAATGCTAAGCACGTTGAAGCTCCCTGGTCTTTCCCCTCCGCCTTCTATTAATGGTTGTCATTCTGCCATTTTGCCCTTTCTCTCCCCGTGCCTCGGTACTTATGCATGAATATAATAATTGTACGAGGATAATAATATTCTCACACTGCACAGCACTGTTGCAAAAATATGTTCCTTAGGATTTGGGGCATATTCAAATGCTGTTGTGGGAGCACTAGGGAAACAAAAGAGGTGACTGATGCTTTATTTTTTCAGATCAACTTTTAGACCACGTGCATGAACATAAAGTCTAAGGCCAAGACAATGAAAGGTAGAGGATAGAAATAAGAAGGGTTAAAAACTGGCTCCCTATTCACTGACTGAAGCAAGAATCAGYGAGCAAAAAAAAGAATGGTTATCATGTAATTAAAACTATACCATCATGCATATTCAAAAGAGCTAATTAAGTATACCCAGGAAATCTGCATTCTGGAACATCCAATTCTGCTTGGATTTGCAACCTGAATGCTTATTTGCCATAGACCTTTTGGGTATTCTGTATTATTTATTTTTGATGAATGCACACTTGSACATGTTCATAATATAGCTATATGTGACACGGTTGTGCATTTGTATGTTTGTGCACATACACATAAGTTAGAAAATAACGGGAATGCCTTAGCATTCATTTTCCTGTATTTTACGTAAYGAAAGATAACATGAATTGCACACTTACTAAAAAATCTATGAAAGTCTACATGGTTATTTTTTTCCCCCATATGCCTACTCAAACTGGAGATGGCAGAGCTGTAATTGTGAGGGAGATTAACGCAGTTCTGTAATTCCTGAACACAAATTGCTTTCCCCCATTTAAGAGGATATCTAACATTGGAAAGTTTAGAGAAATAACTTTTTAGCTGCTTACATAGCAGACCTGAGAGCCTTGTAGTCTCACTCTGGCAAACGCGGATTCGCTGCTACCACCAGCAGTGCTACACCCTGTTCAGAAGATCTAAATCAGAAGCCATATGTCTATTAAATGAACCACATGAAAAAGAACCAGTAATGAAGGAGTGTATAGCTGCAGTCTGCAGATCTCAAAGGAGCTTGCAAGGAGGCCACTTCATGCACAAGCTGATGCAGAGACCCACTCACTGCAGAGCTCTCAGCAGGGATTGATGGTTGACTTCAGACTTCCAGCCTGGTGATCTGCCCACTCGGCCACCCTGGCTTTCACTGCAAATAAACCCTCCAGCTATAGAAATGACCATCAAACACTTAGGTTAAACACGATGCTGAAGCTGGTGGAGACATGCATGGAATCAATATAGATTGATATAGCTGGTCCAAATAGTTTCTTCCTAACTCAGGGTCTGATGACTTTGTGGGCTCTAAGAGGTGGCCAATTAGTGCTGACAGTGCTTTGTTTAATGTGATCAAGTAAAARCAGAGCAACTCTTCYCAGCTTGTATTTGGCTTTGAAGAGTCCAGATTTTGTTCCAGACCAGAGGAAGGTCTTGCGCGTCC